GGGTCCGAGACAGCCCAGAAAGAAGAAGGATAGCTGAGCACTAACATCATATCATCTGCTTCCTGCAGATGCAATGGGCCAAATGCTTCAAGCTCCTGCCTCCGTCACTTCACTCTGTGGATCATACCCTTGAACCCTGGGCCCAGAGGAATCTCTCCTTCCTCAAGTGGCTTTTATCAGATATTTAATCACAGCAATGAGAAAAGTCACTATTAGAAATACTACCTCCAACTCCGCACTGCCGGGGAAACACTTACAAACACCACCAACAGCTGCTTTGGTTTTCAGACAAGGGCTCAATATGTAGCCCAGACTGGCTTCAACATCTGTAGCCCATACTACCATAAAACTAGCAATTCTCCTGCCTCAGCCTCCAGAGTGATTGGATAACAGGTGTTAGCCAACAAGTTACACTAGAAATAATTTTCACAAACTCAAACATAATAACCATATAAAAGTCTTGACTTACATGTTAAAATATACACATGGATACATTGTATTTCACAAGTGAGTTTCCAAATCTAAACTTGCTTAGATTACAAGAAAACTTGACTTTACTGAAATAAGGTTTCAAGACTAATTTTCAAGGAGGATCAGCATCAAGGTTTTTTTTTTTTTCACTTACCTTTACGTGAACCTTAAAGAGCCTTTTCAATAATTTTAATGTTTTAAATTAGCACCTTAAATTAAAATCTTAAATCATTAAAGCCTTTTTCTTTTTTTAACTTTTTTTTTTTGTCATGACAGGGTTTCTCTGTGAAACACTGGCTGTCCTGGAACTCACTCTGTAGACCAGGCCTTGAACTCACAGAGATCCACCTGCCTCTGCCTCCTGAGTGCTGGGATTAAAGGCATGTGCCACCACTGTCCAGCCTCACTAAAGCATTTTTCAAATGCAATGTGTTTCTCCCCCCTTATTTCCCCCACCTATTTTAAGTTTTTATTGATATAAGAATGCCAATTGATTGGCTGTGGCCTTCTACATTTTTTTTGGACAGATGATCTCATGCACCCCAGGCTGGCATACAGGTTGCTATACAACTGAAGATGACTCTGAACTGATGATGGTCCTGCCTATGCTTCCTTAGCACTGGGATTACATTCATGTAGACCACATCTGGTTTTGCAGGTCCCAGGGCCTCACACATACTAGGCAAACTCTCTACCAATAGAACTACATCCTCAATCATGCGTTCTGTGATTTTTAATTGAAAAAATTCTAAAGACTTAGATTCACTAAGAATGTATTGGATCACTGGAGGCAGGAGAGATGCTCAAGGGTTAAAAGTGCTTGTTGCTCTTGCAAAGAACCAGACTTCAGTTCCAAGCACCCACATCAGACTGCTCACAGCTCCGGGGAATCGGACATTCTCTTCTAGCATCTGTAGACACTCACATGAACATGGATACACACATACACATAAATAAATAATAGGTCATTAAATGAATATACTTAGTCCCTGATATTGGCCAAAGAAGCATGCAGAGAAGCATGCTTTCCTGGAAAGAAGTACCTATCCACTATACCATTACATCATTACTCCACGACAATGCTGATCATCACACCATTACTCCACCACAATGCTGATCATCACACCATTACTCTACCACAATGCTGATCATCACACCATTATTCTACCACAATGCTGATCATTGTTACAGTGCCAATCTCCTGAGGGATAAAATTTCACCCAAATCTTTCTAGTTTTTATTTTTAACTAGGGGGCAGATTTTCCACAGAAATTTGGCCTTAACTTCCATGAGAGTACACCATGTGACAATATTCAACAAATATGTATTGAGACTTCACAGCAAGCACTCTTATGAGGCACTGAAGGCATCATGGACTGGCACGGTGGCCCAATGAGTAAAGCAGCTGCCACACAAGCCCAACAACCAGAGAACCTGGAACCTGTGTAAAGATAAATGGAGTGAGCCAAGCCTGACCTCAACGTCAATGCTGTACCTGCACACACGACAAGCTGTTTAAAAATGAGCAATAAAGAGCAGCAAGTACTTTGAGGACACACACCCAACAGCAAGTAGGAGGAGGGGTTAGTGTGATATAAGAATTCTAAAAGAGGAAACTCACCCGGTATGGTGACTATACCTGTAATTTCAGCACTTGTGAGGCCAAAGCAAGAACAGGCAGCCTGGGCTACAAAATGAGTTCCAGGGAGCCTGGCTACAGACATGAAACCCTGTCTCAAACAAACAAACAAACAAACAAATGAATAAATGAATAAGAAAGAAAGAGAGCTGGGTGGCGGTGGTGCTCGCCTTTAATCCCAGCACTCGGGAGGCAGAGCCAGGCAGATCTCTGTGAGTTCAAGGCCAGCCTGGTCTACAGAGCGAGATCCAGGACAGGCACCAAAACTACAAAAAAAAAAAAGAAAAGAAAGAAACTCATACCATCAAAAACGGAACACTGTTGGAGCAACTCGTGGGATAGACAGGGTGAGAATGGAAGACAGGTGCATAAACACACACAGTCCAGCAATCAGCTCACAAAAGATCAAAGGAGAGGCAAGCAAGATGGCTCAGCTGGTAAGGTGCCTGCAGTTCAAGACTGGCAACATGAGGACAATCCCCAAGACAGAGGCAAAGACAGACTCTACAAAGCTGTCCTCTAACCTCCACACACATGCTAGGGCATACACACCTACACATCAGACACATACACAGTAATAAGATCAGCTTTCAAAAACTAAATCTTGCTGGGCATGGTTGAGCATGCCTTTCTTTAATCCCATCACTTAGGAGGCAGAAGCAGGCAAATCTCTGAGTTAGAGGCCATCTGGTCTACAAAGCAAGTTCTAGAACAGCCAGAGCTACATAACTAGAACTTGTAACAAAATCCAAAAAGAAACTGGGAAGCGTTGTCTCAGGCCTTTAATCCCAGCACTCGGGAGGCAGAGGCAGGCAGATCTCTGTGAGTTCGAATCCAGCATGGTCTACAGTGAGTTCTAGGACAGGCTCCAAAGCTACACAGAGAAACCCTGTCTTGAAAAACCAAAAAGAACACAAAGAACAAGCCAATATTCCCAACAGAGAAACAGGATAAAAGGAAAAAGATGTCAGACTGGGTTCAGACTCTTCCACTGACTCAAATCTAACGCCTACAAAACTCCAAAATGATGTGACTATAAGCGAGCAGTTGTTGGCCAGCCAAGAGTCCAGGGAGAATAAAGAAACTTGACACGATGGGCTGAGCTCTCCCACATGTATGCTTTCAGGAACCTCAGAAACACTGCCACCAAAATGAAGAGGTGAAGCATAATGGGTACAACCCCGGGGAGGACTCTATTTTCTAATACAAATTTTATGAGCTCTGTCCCATGTATTACATTTAATAAAAACAAATATTAAAATTTAACCAAGTACATTAAGATGACATATAAAGAATTTTTCAGTCAGAACATTTATCCCGTAAAACTGTACTTTAAATCTAAAGGAGTCTATTAGTGGAAGAAATAATTTATTGACTAACAAAGCAACTTAAAGCTACTTTAAGACAAGTAAAACTTGAGAAATGTTAGCTAACAACTGAATAGACAAAAGAACTTTACAAATAAAACAAAAAAAAGGCAAAACTCTGCTTCTGTTAATTACACAAGAAAGAAAGAACAGAGTCTGTTAAAGTCTTTGTAGACAACCCTGACTATTCCAAAACAGGGAAGACAGTCTGTTAGAACCACTTTGTCAAAACAGTTCACAAGAGTATAAATGCAACAGAAAAAACACACACACACAAAAAAAAAAAACAACCAAGAAACTTGAGGGTAAGCAAGGGAACAACCCCAGGGCAGGGTGGAGAGGTAGGAGGAATGGGGGGGGGGGGGGGGGGGAGATGGGAGAGAGGGAGGGAGCTATACAGATGAAGGATGACTGGCAAGGGGAAATCATGTGATCCCAGGGTATTGTTGCCCAGCTATCCTTTCCATTTCATTATAGAAATGTAATTATTACATTAATCTCTAAAATTACTTATGCACAATCAAGCCCTAAGTTTTAGTAAGCATCCCTCTCACCAATTTTATTAACAGCTACATGAAGTCTTAATGAGATTTTTCATCTCAGAATCATCTTTCAAATGATAATAGAATTAAAGTATTTTATATCCTTTTTCTATTTAAGGAAACCTGAAAGTGTCCCATAGGATTAATATGATTGTTTGCTGCACATATAAAAATGTATTTTAGTGGACATGGGGAACAAGGGAAACATACTTCTTCTGATTTCATACTATGAAGGAGTCAGGAAATTTAATATGAACATACATTTGGACCTTTGTATATAAATACAGAACATACAATACTTAAATGTAATATTAAGAAGTATTTGCAAGAAATGGACGAATGAGAAGGCAATGGAGGGCAAAAGGGTCAAAGAACACTGCATACATGGAGATACCAATAAGTGTCATTGTTTTCCACGATGAATAAATAAACACTAATATAAACACTTAAGGAAACAGTGGCCAGGAAAGCACAGTTTCAAAGTTCAAAGCCCACAACCCCCTTCTGCCATAGCCGAAGTCTCTGACGGTAGAGTCACCTACAGCCAAGACAATACTGAAAACCAAGCGCTCTGAGCCAGCAAATCTAACTGAGAAGGGAAAGCCATGTGAGAGGAGACCTGGGGAATACCCACAGAAGAAAGCAGGCCAGCAACAGAACAAAGGCAGCCTAGAAGGATGCCCAGAAAGCCAAGAGAAAAGACAGCTTGGAGAAAGAGCTAGCAAAGGCAGAGGCCAAATTGAGATCAAAGAAGATGGAGATAAATCAAAACCACAGCAGAAAGTGAATAGCCATATTGAAATGGTTAAGATTACCTATTTCTATTGCAACTGAGAGCACTAAGGGTTTGTCTTGCAGGAGGAGGGAGGCAGAATGGACCTTTGCAGCAAAACAGACATGGGTTATCACTCTTGTGGTCTGTAATCTAAAAGCAACAAAGAGAAACTATGTGATTTGCTTTTCCTTAAAGGCTACACTCACCCAACTGTGGAGCAGGCAAGATTCTAGCTGCTCGGACTGGGCCATGTCGAACAGAGAAGAGTTCCTGAGCTTCCCCGCTGATCTGCATAAGAGAAGGAAGAAAAGAGCTCAGTATATTCAAATATGTAGCACAATGCTACTAGATGCAATCAACACCTAAATTTTACCATGATTTTCTGGAAATACAAATACATATATATACCCACACAATATATTAGGATTTTAGGGAGGTCATGTACATCAAATACATCCCTATCTTAAATTGTGTAAGTACTTTTGGGAAAACATCACAATTCATTATTCGTATAAACTTGAAGAGAGTCTGTTCTATTAACCCATGAGAAGTCTGTTCAGCTCCTGAGCTCATTCTCCATGTTAGAGCAGCTATGAGACTGTTCTCAATATCTAAGCTCAGTTATTAGTTATCTTTCTAGAATCATTCAAATCTATCAATTACATTATTTTGCAATTACAGAACAAGGCTGCTAAAAAAAGACCTCCGAGACACCTCTAACTGAAATACTCTGTGAGTAACAAAGTTGTAAGCAAGCAACTTCGGAAGTCATCACTTATACTATAAACAAAGATCAAACACTGTAACAATGTCCACTACCTTGAATAAAGTCAGATTCTGTGCTTGGATATAAAGACTACAGTATTCTGTTTCTCCAAAAGGCAAAAGGGGGTATGCTAGTGTGTATCAAGTTTTAAAAAAATGCCTTTCAACCGCTGGTTCATGTGTTGAGCAAATTAAAATAGAATTAGAGAATAACAGCTTTCTAGACTGACTGTGAGAGGTGATACTAACATGGTCCTTTGCACACTGCAGTAACTGCTACCGTTTGATGAAATATATAATATCAGAGAAAATGGTACACATTATAAAACTGGCCCTAAAATCTCAGGAATTTCTAATGGCCGTAACAAAGATAAAAACTCACAGAGGTCACATACTATTGTCGTTTTAATAGGCTCTGCCCAACAAGTGGTTTAATGTCCAAGAATATATCCATCATGAAAAGCTGGCAAAGCTTCCAAAGTAAACAATATGCATGCAGAGGTGCCTTTTAGAGAAAGAACTCACATCTTCAGCCTCTCTCCCATGTACCTTTTAGAGCTGTGAGCTCTACGTTTTTCCTTCCAGTAAATACCCACTGTGTTTGTGGTAATTAAGACTATCTGCTGGCTGCAGCAACAAGTCCTCCCCACTTGGTGTGCAGAGCCCCATGAGGAGCCCCAGCAAGGACGGTGCCACCACAGTACCACCTACCCAAAGGCTCAAAGGAGCCAGCAGAGCAAAGGCCTGGGCTCCTGTGCGCCACAAGCCTTCCTGGCTTTCATTTCAATAATGAAACCCCTGAGCAAAACACGCTGAAGCTCCCAAGTCTCCATTTGACGGTAATGGGACAGAATTCAAAGTTTATAGAAATAAAGGTGGATGATTATTTTGTGAAACTTTCCATCTAATGCAGCAATCACTCATTTTCTAAAATCTAAAATGTACCACATCTTTTGTTTTTGAACATACATATGCTAACAGGTTGAGTACTGATACTGTCCACTTATATTAAAAATGTGTTATTAACAAGTTCCAAGTTCCCACTGCTTGAAAACTGGAACAGAAAAAGACACAGCAGGAAATTGTTGACCAAGTCATTACATTTTGAAAATACAGTATCTGCTAGACAAGAGATAAGTGAATCTACTCTGTCATACAACTAAGAAAAAATTTAATTAAAAGTAATGTAAAACTTAAAGTTGTATAATACAAAGTAATGAAAAAATTCCACTTGTGAAATTTACACCCATAACAAATTACAGTGTGAACACAAAATCTCCTGTTGTACCATTGTTTCCATGGGCCAGAACTGGCCTTTAGTTTTTGGTTCTACCAAACAAAATTCGAACGTTAAAAAGTATAACCTCATTTCCCTGAGTCTCTGTACTTGGGTATACTAAATACTGTTTTAAATCTGTCTTGCTATAATTACAATAAGTTTGTCATCATGAATTAATACACTAGAGCAGAAAACATAGAAAAACATTTCAAAATCCAAACACATGAAGCTTTACAGCAAACAGCTTTCAAAATGAACCAAACTCTGTTCCAACCTGAACACAATGTCACCTGGACAGCAACAGGTGAGAACAGAAACCACAAGGAAAGATCGGCAGGGCACCGCCACATTCTCTGTCCCCCTCACGGCCTGAGTGGGGTCTCCAGTCCTTAGGAGAGCACGGAGAAGGGGAGGAGGAAGTATGGGGTCTCATATACACACAGAGAACCGTGAATATACCAGATTACATCCTGCTGAAATCAGAGTCTAACTGCAGAATGTAAGTCACCAAGATTAGCCTCCCGGGAGAGAATCCTCCAAATGATACATGAAAATCCTAAATTAGAATAACGCTGAGCAGAGGGTGTTAGCAAGGCATATCCAGAGCCAGAACCTTCCACATGTCAGAAAGGACGCAGACATACAGGGATGCTTCCCAGCTGCCTCTAATACTTTCATCCAGTGTGTTCATGGGTAACTTTACTTTCAAATAAATACCAAAGTAGTGTGAAAAGCAGTCAAAACTACTTTTGGGTTTCCAGAAAAAATATCTCTGAAAATGACAAGGAATCTCAAGATAAGGTCCTGAAGCCTGAACAGGAGCTACAAGCTCACTTTTACACTGAGAAGCCAAGAACGGCAGGGGCAGAAGCCGGCCGGGAAAGGCAGAACTGCAGCTTCCAGACCGCTGTGAACTAACAGGAGGAGGGCACTGGAGGAGACCTCTCCCCAGCTCCTCCTGGTCTCTGCCTTTGTTCTTGCTGGCATTTTAATTTCTGATGACAGACTTTTGTTGTTTGGGGCATAAACCGGACGTACCAGTTTGAAGGCACAATAAGGAGAACAAAGAATGATTTGTTCACACTGTAGGGAAAAAAAAATCTTTCCAACCATAGAAAATAGCTTTCGCATGGTGAAAATATGCAAATTACATACCAAACTGGAAGGGGTTGGGGGAATACAAGTTTAGAATCTCCCAACTCAATCTAAGGAAAAAGAAATTACAACAATACATACAGAGACAGAAAGATCTGGAGGAGCTTGGAGAAAACTTTCAGAGACTTCGACAATCAAATGAAAGCGACCCAGCCCTGAGAAGCCAGGCCGCTCTGAAACCCAGCGGAAAACTCAATCCAACACTGGGGACCGTGAGGGTGGGACTCCACACTGCAGTCAAGTTCCTGCACATGGGCACCACCCTGCCCTGCAGAAACACAACTACAGCTTCCAAATGCCCTTCTTTTGACAAACTTTACTGACAGAGAGCACTGTATTTAAAATACAGATCATCAGTACAGATCCTGGAGAGATTAATAATGACTGTCGCATAAAGCATCTATGTTACTGACATCCACCTCAAAAAATGAGAGTAGGCTTGAAGCAAGAGCTAGGAAGGCAGAAGCAGGAGGATGTGAAGCACAGCATGGAGGCCAGCCTGGAGGAGGTTCCATCCTGGCTAGGGCTACAAGGTGACACGCTGTCTCCACAAAAATTAGTAAATAAATAACTAACAAATAATTATGAAAATGTAGAAGGCTTGCCACATCGTCATAACACAATCTTAACTTACAAGACTGTGTACAGGTTTAATTGCTGAACACACTACAAATGGGACCGTACAGTATACTCTTGTAGAATCTCTTCCACATTACTGGCTCGGAATCAATTCATGTTGATGCATGTGACTGTAAGGGTTTTCTTCCTCTACTGCTACAAAGCCTCACATTGAATGAAAACACTATGATTTTACATCTCCTACTATTAACAGGCCTCTACTACATTTCTAGTTTGGACCCAGCAGAACTCCATCTTCCTGGCCACTGTTGTAACGTGAGAGAAAGCAGGCAGGATATGATGACACACAGCTATAACCCAACACTCCAAGGCCCAAACCTTTCAAATTACAATTTCAAGGCCAGCCTGGGCCAGCCTGTCTCAAACAAAACAAAATCAAGAGACTAGGCCCCGGGTCTTGTGTTTCTTGATCACAGGTCCAAGCTCTGCCTGCTGGGCTGTACAGAGGGCATTCAAGACCAGCTGAGGCAACTTAACAGTGCTAGGATGTAGCTCAGTGTAGGAATGCTATCTAATATGACTGAGGCCCTAGGTTCAATACCTAATTCCACCAAAAAAAAAATATATAGTACACAAATATAAAGTCAAGAAAAGAATTCACTAATTCTTCCCGGTATTCTCTAGAGGCCACCATACCGTCATCTAATTTCACAGAAATCTACACTCCTACTTTCTTTGGGCTATTTTACAATACTCTAAATTATCAAAAACTGACAGTGATTTTTTTTTTTTAGTTTGATTTTTAGCAGAAATTTAACCCAGGGCCTTGTACACAGCAGGAAGGCCTCTACCACCAGACACATCTCCAGCCCTGCACCCGCTTGCTAAACAGACAAGCAAATGAAGTTTGGTAAAGAGACAACTGAATCTACTCTGTAGAAAGATAATTCCAAGGCGGAGACAGTGTCCATACCTGTAGTCCCAGGAACTGGGAAGCTGGAGCAAAGAATCACTTGCACACAAGCTGAAGCACCCTGGGCACACAGAAGACACAAGTACAAAAGCAAACCCTCCTTAGTTCTTTAGCGGATGCTCTTAACCTTTGAAGGGAAGGGAGGCCTCTGGAGGGTGAACCTAGGTAGGAAAGCAATCCACTAACCCTGCTGACCAAGCGCAGGACAGCAGAGCTACCTTCCACCCCAAACACTTGCTAGTGCAAAGAGGATGTTAATGTGATTTGCATTTATTAGAGTACACACTAGCATCCCTAACTGCCTCCAGCTGCTCTTCACATTGTTCCTTCCTTAAAGTTAAATAGGATCTGGCCGGGCGGTGGTGGCGTACACCTTTAATCCCAGCACTCGGGAGGCAGAGCCAGGCGGATCTCTGTGAGTTCGAGGCCAGCCTGGGCTACCAAGTGAGTTCCAGGAAAGGCGCAAAGCTACACAGAGAAACCCTGTCTCGAAAAACCAAAAAAAAAAAAAAAAAAAAAAAAAAGTTAAATAGGATC